TAAAAGACAGTAAGTAGTACAACTACATTTCTAAATCTAATAATGGTATTCAAAAATAACTATTATTCTGAAATGTCAAAAATTTTAATAGATAAACTGGTTGACGAGGTTGGAGTGGCTGGATTGCATAGTATGCCCCAAGAGCTGGGTTTAATAATGCATATATTTAAACAATTTTTTATTGCTAATCTAATCTTCTTTTTCAGATACTTAATCCATCGCCTTTTGTCAAAAAACAAACCATTTTCATAAGCTAATTGACCAGTAACTTTTCATAAGCTAATTGACCAGTAACTTCTATTTAAAATAATTTGAAATTTTTTCATTTTCTTCACTATGATATCTAGTGCCAATTTGATATTATGATCTTCTTCATTGGGGCGCTTTCATGGGTAAGTTTCGTATAAGGTGTAGCTTTTTGTAATGTGTAAGTTTCTGTATAAGGTGTGGCTTTTTACAATGTGTAAGTACTTAAAAATGAAACAAATCAGAAAAGAAATTTACATAAAAACTTATTTAATCGGAAATTGTTAAAATAAAAATTTGATCATACTTAAGATGTCTGACTCTTTTTTTTATTGCTGCTACTGGTTGGATAGACTGTATTGGTAAAATTCGAGAAAGTATTTCATTAAAATAACTGTAATATTCGAGTATTCTCTAAAGTTTTTATTTGTTTGAGGTGGTGTCTTAAAATAATTCTTAAAATGTCTTTTTATAAAGGTAAATAATAAGAAAATATTGACACGCGCGTGGTACGTATTTATAGGACAGTATTGGGTAGCTTGTGCTAATGCTGTAATGATTGAAATCGTCAACTCGTGACTCGAATACCGGTAACTCGAGAGATCATGATTATTCGTGAGATTAGCGAGTCAAAAATAAACGCGTAAAGTATATTATAATAATATGCTTTCATTTTTTAGTTCGTAATATGATATACTGTATAAGTACCATAGTGTAAAATTGAAATTTAAAGAATATTAAGTTTATTATTTATCAGACTCAATCAACCCTTGAAAAAGCTAATTCTGAAATGATTAAAAAACTAATGTGGAACCCATAATGTATCTGCTTTTATAAATTATAATTTAAATATTTGAGATTCGAATAATTCTAATAAATTCGAATAAAAATTGACTCAATATATTCCTTATTTTTTTTTTTTTTCATTATAAAAGATTGATATTTTAATGTTGCTAGATAATTTACCTAGATCATGAGTCGGACACAAAAATGGTTGCAAATATCATGCTAAAGACCAACAAATTCTTCGGCACCAATGGGAAAAGTATTCGGAAAGGCATACACACATGAAAAACATTAATTACCGAAGAATAGGCATTGTTCATCTTCTTTAATAATATCACAAGCTGTTATTTAAATACACCAGCCTCACTAAATAAAATGATAAATTGGGATAAAGACGATTTGGATTATAATATAATAGATGCCGATAAGTAAAAAATAGAAAAATGATATATCACAGGAAGTGAAGGCCCTTAAAAATTCATAGAGTAATTACAGGTATCGACGGTATACAATATTATCTTTTTTTTTTTTATTTCTATTTTGATAATATACATTATTATTATTATTATCAATTGCTAATATAAATATCGGCATTATGTATCACTTTTTTTTAATATAGAAAATGGATATAAAGGAGAGACAAAAGGCGTTTCTATACCTAAAAAACGAGCCCAAAAGCAAGTTATCTACGATATTAATGAATATTGAAGATTCGGAGATATCAATCTTCTTCTCAACCTGTTCAACCTTATCAATCCTCTGTTCGACAACTTCGGTTCCAGTCTCAACCTATCCAACACAATTAAATAAATGGTAACTTTAATGATGATCTTAAAAAATTATTCTAGCATGGGCAATTAGTTGAGGTGTAAGGTTTGCAATTAGTAGCTTTAGAATTAGTAGCTCTAGATCCGAAAGTTCTGACATGTAGAACTTATTACTTTTTTTTAAAGCTCATACCTTTTCTTTTTTACCTCTATTATTATTAAAAATAAAGCTATGATTTTGATCCGGTGATCACTAATGCTAGCTGAATAGTAATTTTGTTTTTCATTCCATGAACACGTAAGTAATAAACAGTAAATATTTTAATATAATCTAAAATTTTTATATAAACAAAATTCTGAGTTGGTCTTATTCTTGACATGTATAGCTGCATTTGTACAGTAATTAAAGCTTTAAAATGATACTTGGGAAGTGAACAATAAAAGATTGTCATTATAAATCGAAAATCGCACGTGATACAAATGCTAAGAATTATACAGAAATATACATGACATAATTCTGTCAAGTTCTACCTCTAGCCCAACTCTATCTAATTCCAGCTGATAAAGTTAACGTTAATGCAGATCGTTGTTAAATAATGCAGTGTAAGTATAACTCTAATGTCCAGATTGGACTAATAAAACATGATAGGAATATGATTTTACACGTAAAAGATAACATTTGTTCTTACTGTATATATAGCTTTTACCTCTAAATTATATTTAATCAGGTTTTTTCCTTTTTTATTTAATTTCGGGTTAAATTTCTTTACTGTATTAATGCTAGCCAAATTCAGACTTAATAGCAAAGTTGTAAGTGGAACTAACGGGTAAGTTACTTAAACACTTGATATACAGTAATTATTTTTCTAGCTTATTGCAAGAAGCTATACATACAGTACATACTGTATGTATGTACATGTGAATACCGGAAATATATAACCCAGGTATATAATAATAATAATAACCGTATAGAGATTTGTCTCAATCGCGATGAGCCAATTCCTAATTTTATTTCTCATTTGATACGTAATCAAATGTGTTCCTTAAAAGTGAATTGATTGATTGAAATAATTTTCATGAAGATCCCATATTGATTTTTTACCTTAACATGACAAAAAATATATTTTACGTCATAATGATATCATAGCATGAGATAATGATAGGACTCTAACAAAAAATATATTTACTAAAAAAAAATTCATGAGAAAAATTCCAGTATTACTGTACAATTATTTTAAATCTAATGCTAAAGATGAAATTATGTAAGTGGTGATTTTATGATAACGATAGATATGATAACGATAGATGATAATGACGATAATGGGAGAATTAGAAACCTAATCATAATATTAGTATATACGTACAAGCAGGTCAAGTCGATTAATATCCCTAATTAATCTCTAATTTAAGCTATATATTCCATATATATATATATATATATATATATATATATATATATATATATATATATATATATATATATATATAATATATATAT